CAACCAGGCGGGAAGAATGAATAGCTTAAATTATTCATTATTCGAACTTTGAATAAACAATACACTTCTGTCGTATAATTACTGTGAGATAAGAAAGAGTCAGAGCAAGTACAAAGTGAAAATTAATGGCGGTCTACTAGGATATTAATACCTCGTTTGTTGGACTCGGGTACGAAGCAATTTTTTACGGAAACCGTGGGGTTAATTGTAACGTGGCGGATGAACAGAAAAAAACGTTGAGTGGCTCGCGTGTTAATTTGTAGGGTTTTATATAAATGTTCAATGGTGGCTTTTTCGAGTATTCTTTTCTTTATTTTTGCGTACAGCTTGTGCTAAAATAAATAAATAGTTTACTTTTCTACATTCAATATCTTTTTGGAACGAAGTTCCTTAAGGGACGATGCGGAAGGGTACCCTAACCGGGAAAAAAACGTCCGTAACGTAAATTTTTTATTATTTATGTATAGTCTTAGTATGATGGCTATACAGTGTCTAATGTATAGTCTACGTGATGACGGTTATTATTACTATTCATATAAATAGCTGTTACTTTGTATATTATTATTATATATTTTTTATAAATCATTGTGAATAAAATAAAGTTGATAACTTTGTTAAGTAGTTTTTTTTATCAATAAAAAAATAATTTAAAAAAATGTATTCTTTATACCTCGAATAAAATTAATATTTTTATAATAAGGAACTTCGTTCCTATCCGGTGTCCCACGACACCATACATATTTTTAGAATATGTACTTGTAATAATTAATAACGTAAGTTATTACTAGTAATCATATTTTCACAATATTTTTCTATTTTACTAAATTTTGTTAATACAAAAAGAAACAAATGAGCCTACCATTCGTCATCTACCATCATATTTCCAAACAGAATCTAAGCTCAATCAATGCGAACGAAGAGTATTTCTGTTCGTAAATGTTGAACTAGCTGAACTAACTGAGAATTGCGTACTTATTGTAACACTAAAATTTGCTATAGTTACCTATTTTAGGTGTTTATAATTTTTGGTGCCTCAACTGTATCTTCATTGTCCTAAATTTTTTTATTGCCTTTGTAGGCAGACGAGCATAAAGCACACCTGATGGTGAGTGGTTACCGCCGCCCGTGGACTTCAGCAATGCCAGAGGCAGAGCTAAGCCGCTGCCTTAGTAGGCAGCAGTAATAGTAGTCTATTCTATATCCTTTACTATCTTAAGCTGTTCGATACTAGAAGCAACTGCGACACTTACCTACTTATACTCAACGGCGGATCCAGGGGGGGGGGTCATGGGGTCATGACCCCCCCCCCCTGAGCTGGTTCCAGGACTTAGGTGAACCACTAATTGAACATAATTATTTTATTTATATATTTTGTCACTATACAGATTTTATGTAACTAAATACCTTCAATATTTAATTAATTTAGTATAATATAATAACTTTGTATGATGGCAAGCGTTTGGGAACGAGCGCATCGAAAATTTGACTATGTGACCCCCTCCTGGCGCCAAAGCTGGATCCGCCCTTGCTTATACTTTGTACTCTTTACGATTGAATGAAGAGTCTAATAGAATTTTCACAAACTAGCTTTATAGAGTCAGAGATAACAAGAATACTGCTGTTTTGGGCTGACGAAAAATAATAAAGCTTTCAGACTATGGTTTACGGCGCTGTTAATGCCTCGTTCCATTCTATCGGCCATGAGATTGTAAAATTAAACGGCCATTAAGCGTTCAATTTATTTGGAAACAAACGTTTAATCTTTATGATTAGATTTTAACAACAGAACAGAGGGGTAATCGGATTTCATGGCGATCTGCATGTTTTTTAGATTCGCAAGAACAAAAAAAAGATGTGTGGTGTCGTGGGACACCGGATAAGAACGAAGTTCCTTTTTATAAAAATATTAATTTTAATTACTATATAAAGAAAATAAAACTGGAGGTTTCACAACAACCCACGGTCATTCAGTAACGTGCGAACTTATTGTGGTACACTTCATTCACAGTTGTTTGCATAAGAGTTAGGGTATTGCGCAAACGAACGTGGTTAATGAATGATAAAAAATGTTATTTTTTGTACGTTATTACGAAGTTAAGTCGTACAGTGTGTCCATTACTAATAAAAATCTTACGTTACGGACGTATTTTCCCTGTTAGGGTACCCCTCCGCATCGTCCCATAAGGAACTTCATTCCAAAAAATAATTTTGAGAAAACCATTTGACGTCACACTTTCGAGATACGAGTATAGGAGACATCGATATTATGTTATTTATATGCAGAAATAGGCTGGATGGTTGCAAACATTTCACCCATCAGAGCTTGCAGCTCTACAACCACGAGTTACAACAGGTCTGAAAAGTATCCTAGGCAACAGACGTAGCTGTTTAGACTGACGATGTGACATCCTGGTTTTTACTGGCGGTAGGACCTCTTGTGAGTCCGCACGGGTAGGTACCACAACCCCGCCTATTTCTGCCGTGAAGAGTAATGCGTTTCGGCTTGTAGAGTAGAGCAGCCGCTGTAACTATACTGAGACCTTAGAACTCATATCTCAATGTGGGTGGCGGCATTTACGTTGTAGATGTCTATGGACTCCAGTAATCGCTTAACACCAACTGGGCTGTGTGCTCGTCCAGCCATCTAAGCAATAAAAAAAGACCTCTCGTTGTCTTTATTAAAAAACATAAAAAGTTGGTTTAGGTGAGAGCTCCGAAGGAAAATGTATGAGTATACTTGTTACTACTAACGCAAAATGCAGCTGGAGTTAAGGGGAAGATACAACCCGCATCTTCTAAACAATAACTGGTCTTTTATTATTACGATTCTCAAAGAAAGAATTTGAACCTATTAAAAAAAAAACTTAAGGTCTCGTTTCTATAATTGGAAACATTTTTTTGTTTTGATTGGGTTAAACATCTTCAAATTTATGTGTCTTCTATTAATAATATAATCGAGCCTCGTTAAGGTTAATTTGGATTTTTACGTAAATTCAAAATTCATTTAATACTATTATGAATGTGTCCAACGCACGTTCCGTGTTGTCTCTGAGTAGAGAATTCATTTTAATAAAACAAAACAATGTTTACGTGTTTATAAAATTACTAGCCGTACTCGCCCGCTTCGCTGAGCATTTAAAACTAACATTATTATGTATTTATTGTCATTATTATTAGGGACTCCAACACTCATATAAATATTAGCCTATCCATTAAGTACATGTATTTTCTACATGGATACCAAGTTTCAAGTCAATCGAATGCATGGTTCAGTAGTTATAACGGAACATCCGTAAAAACTAGTGTACATTTATGTATTAGTACAATTAGTATAATGTATTATAACATTATTCTGATTTTATGAATTTCGAAGCTATCAATAAATTACTACCGCACTAACCTCTTGCTCCGGTAAACTCACACTTTTACAAACAACGTGAAATAGTTTAAAATTAAAAAATACTCCATTAAATCAGACTTTATCTAACGAGAAAATCAATGGGCGGGATATACATCAATTAGGTTCAATTCAAATCGAAAACGTCGTAAGTCGACGACCTACTAGTTCAAATGAACACCAAAACTATAGATTTAAAGGTGAATTTGCTTTAATTAACAATATTAATTGTTTGACAAGCAAAATTAGAAACAAGCAAGTTTATTTTTATTTGGTTAAGTAAATTTAGATTAAAGTATTACACAATTAAGTTGTTTTTTTAATGCTAGTGTCTTTGTGATTCACTAAATTACGTCACGGCAGAATAAATTGCCTCAAGTACCTATAAATAAATACATATAGAGTAGCCAGCTCGATAACAATGCCTTTGATATGCTTAATACATTTTGTTATAGAATTAGACAGGTCAACTAACTAGCAGCCCGCCTGATGGTAAATGGTTACCGCAACATGTCATAGCGCTCAAGAAACATAGTAAAGGAAGTTCAATCCAAAGCCGAATATTATTTTAATGGTCTGAGTTGTATTATATAAGGGCTGTCGAAGCACTAACGCATTACAGTATCAAGGGCCAGAGAATCCAATAGATGGGTGGACGAGCTCACAGCTCACCGGGTGTTAAGTGGTTACTGGAGCCCATAGACATCTACAACGTAAATGCGCCACTCACCTTGAGATATAAGTTCTAAGGTCTCAAAATAGCTTGCCCCACCCTTCAAACCGAAACGCGTTACTCCTTCACGGCAGAAATAGGCGGGGTGGTGGTACCCACCCATGCGGACTCACAAGAGGCCCTACCACCAGTAACTATACAACTGAGTCTACTATACAACTGAGATTTAGTTCTCAAGTTCCCATGTCTCAAAGTGAACGCTGGGTTCGCGTTGTGATGTTTGGTGCAGTGAGTTTATTCACCCGTATAAGCAGTAAAGACAGGATGGTGGTACCCATTCGAACTCAGCCATACTCCGCTGCGATTGTCGGCGAATGTTTGAAATACCCTCATTAATTGGAAGTACTCGCACGCCACCTATCGCTCAAGCATGTTACTACGACAAACTTTATAGTGCCAATAGCAATTAAGTGCGAAAAATTTATACACGAAGAAGATTTTTTTCTATTAATATTCACTCCAGGTTTATATTCTTTTAATTTTTTGTATCTTTTTTTATCAAGAAATAATAAACTAGAATACTTATAATTTAAAAGAGGATAATATAAGCAAAAAAAGTAATAATAAAAGCAAATAAAAATAACAATGTTCAAATAATAGGAGCAGATAAAGCCGCCATAAAACTAATGTGAATATAAAAACAGAATATACATAGAGAGACGAGCAACATTGTATTCAAACAAAATTACCTCGATAGTAGTTACTAGATAAGTACACAGACTATTGTAGTTACTAGATTTGAAACAAAAATCGGTGACATGGAAAATTGTAAAGTGCTCGTAACGTGAGAAATAATAAAACTAAAATAATAAAAGCGAAATTAAAAATTAGAAGAAGAAATTTTAAGAGAAAGAAATTTTAGTCAAGAAAAAGAAATTTTAGTCAATTATGCCTAAGACACGCGGAAAACAAAACAAAAAACACTAAAAATGAAAGACTTCAAATAAAACAAAAACCATGAAAAAGATTACATTCCGATAAGTTTCTGAAACTGCTTTTAAATTTAAATTATAGAATTTGAACAAATTCCAGCATTTGAAATAAATAAAAAATTGAATCTTAATTCGTTGGTCCCTGAGAAATATTTAACCATTCGTAAAAAGCTTTTAAAGACTAAATTGAAGATTGTTCCTGTTTCAAAGCTATAAATAAATTTAACTAAAAGTAAACCATTGGAAATACGTCGTACTTTTCTCCAACAATAAAAAATATCCAAATTACATCGATCAACGATGCGACATGCATTCGTATATTTGGAATTAAAAGGTATATTTATTCAATTAACTACGAGTATATCATTCACTCAGTATTTCCAATGACTTCTAATAATTGTAGCATTACAAACGCAGCGCATCGCCGGTTACTGTCGCCACAAATGACGTCACACATCCCCGTTACTACTATTGTATCGTTTTCGTATTCATTGATACAAAGATCAACATTAGTTACTTCGATACATTATAGCTAGCTAGTAACAAATGAACCGTCATACAAAAAACAACAAAATTGAACATTTGAATAAATTCTAGAACCGGTCCATAAATGAGAGTCGTTCTTAAATATTATCAATTTCACCTTAGATCGAAATTTTCAGGGTTTAAGTTTAATTGTTTTCAGCCATCATGCGGAATTGTTTGCCGTCACGGCAGCGACACTCGAGCTAGTGATTGGTGGCAGAGGAAGCAACATGTCGGCCAATCTCCCAGCTTCCCTTAAGCCCGATAAGAATGCTCCGTGCACCGTTGCTGGATAGTTCCGCATCGTGTGCTCACCTGACAAACAAAATAGGATTAAAATCCAATCTCCGGCAATAAGATAGACTTTACCGATTTTAAATGAACGTAAAAATGAAGCTGTAACAGATAATCTCCTGTTTATGTTTGACTTTTATCAATCAAATAGATTAAACAATTTACTTTTACAGCTTCTGTTTGGGACAAAGGCGCGTTATACGCCCGCACCTGTAGGTGAAAACGTCGTTACCAATGTAAAGGATTTATGCGTTCGGTTTAATTCGATTGATTAGCTATGATAACAATTATTAGTAATTGAAATTTAGACTTTATGTATTACCAAATTTACTTGTAAGAATCGTTTTACTAATCTCCGATAATTGCTTAACACCATATGGGCCGAAAAATTAACTTCAATACTAGTGATCTCATACGATACTCATAAATATTTCATCAGGACAATTTTCAAGAGCCAGTAAGCAATACACGACGATCTATACAAAAACAAATGATAACGTGATGTATCGTAGCGTTTGGCTATAAATGAAAAAACTTTCGCTTGGGCTGAGATTAGACTTTCAAGGTACGAATGTGAAACTTGTATTAGTCGGAATAAGTTTTATTCCGGTGCGTAAGAAGGCTAACGCGAAAGTTTCGCTTCATTAGTTAGATGATTAAAACAACTGAGCCGTGAATATTCTAGGGCTTAATATTAACAATCGTTACAAATACAAACTAAATTTTATGGTATTAATTATTTATTATATGGTTTACGTACCAATATCTATAGAGTAACATAAACACTTAACACCAGGTGGGCTGTGGGCACGTCCACTCTTCTAAGCATTAAAAAAATTAAATAATAATAATTATTGAATTGTTATTTTATCACTAAAGTCGAACATACTCACCGGCAAAGAAAAGTCTATTCTCTCCATCAGTTCCAGGTATAGGGGCGGCCAGGAGATCGTAGTCAGTACCAGACGACCCTACCGCTACAAAACTGTACGAGCCGCGAGCGAATGGATCGGCACGCCATCTAAACAAACCAATAATGAATTTAACAGTCCTAGCCGCGACCACATCGAGGCCACTACATCAGTATCTGCCGACACGATTTTCAGGCACCCAAGAAACCTTTACCAAAAACTTTGATACGACTTATATTAGATCAGCCTTTCCCAAAGTGGGCGATAAGGCCCCCTTGTGGGCGCTGCAGGCATAAGGGGGGGCGGTAAGAGACCCAGAAAAAAATAGGGGCGTTGTGTAGAGGCTTGGGAGGCGATCTGTAATTTCATCTAGGAGGACTCTTAGACAAAGACTGAGCACTCGCTATAGAGGATTTTAAGTAGGTGAAAAAATGGGGACGGTAGACAAAATAAGTTTGGAAACCCCTGTATTAGATGTATAGACACGTTATTGCGACACGCAATTTAAGATTGTGTCAAAACGTGAACGACATTTATATGTTACGTGCAATACAACGTTTTAAACAGTAATTATGATATCTGAAACAATACACAGCTTTTACGAAGCAGGAAACTTTGCAACGGAAATTGCTTTCAACGTGATACAGTCGAAAGTTTTACTAATGGCTTCACGTTTCGCGCGTTTTAACGAAGTGAAATTTTGTGAATTTCGTAATGAAACTGGTTCCACTTTAATATTTAACGTATAAACTAAATTCTGTTTAAATTTTTTATTGGAACTTTGGTATGTACGTTCGATATAGTTTTTTTTAGCTTCATTGAGCGACGCTTGATGGAAAACAGTTTCTGAATCCTTTAGACAACACAAAATGAAGTAATATTGCACAAAATTTGTGATACATGGTCGAAGTCTTTGATATATTTGTTCTACTATTAAAGTGCTCTTCGATGAGATATTCTATATTAATTTGTAAGTGAATTATTATTTTATGCAACATTATTGTCAGATTTTGTACTAACTACTTATCTTGTTACTTTTCAATAGTTAATATTTTCAGGAGCAGTGTTCTATAGACACATATACTGGTAGTATCAATATGCTGACAATTTATGCAGAGAAACAATCATGCTTTCTGTTTGAAGGGTGAAATAGCCACCATACAACTTTGACTGCGTGCCTTAAAGAAGATACCGCGTTGTGATATCTATGAACTCCGGTAACCATGAGATGATCGTTCACGTATCTATTGCAAGAAAAAAAAATATTCTTGATTAATTTACCTCGTTACTATGCATTCTTTGGGTTGCGGCACGGCCGCGTGACCAAATATGCTCTTCAGAACGGCGATACATCTACCGACGATGACGTCATCGGTGACGTTTTCCATCACAGCGGCTGCCTCGCCTGCTACCAAAGCTAGGAGTACCGGCGCACTATAGAGGTTCCAGAAAAGGAAAAGTTCTCCTGCATCGAAGGAAATAACAATAATTTTAAGAGATAGAAAGACAATATGTATTAACTAAGTATGATAGGGTATGAAATGACCCCTTCGACAACATAGTGGATTTATACTATAATATAGGTTAGCTTATTTCAAACTATTTAGATATATCGTGCTTTTTTCCGTTGAAAACATACTTACAAACCCTGTGATGCTAGTTGTGGATATATTGAGTAGTTATAGTCGTTCATGTACATACACATATACATACACATCAGAAATGCCACAGTTCCAATAATGAAGGTACCTATCGTTGAACCTTTTCAAAGATCGTTTGTAGAAGATCCTATCATGGCACTTTCCACTTTAAGTCCAAAGCCAAAAAGTATGTGGACAAAAAAATGATGCTTAAAAAGGACCATAGCTATTAGAAATAAACTTTTCTACAAGCGTCGAGGGTGCCACGGTAAGTTTGAGATGAAAGGCTCATCTCAAATAATTCTCAAGGCAACAGTTGAGGTGTACAGCGATATGAAGATGCTGCACATAGACTCTACCATAACATAATGAAGCAATTACGTCTTGATTTGAAAGATTAGGCCAAATATATTGACCAACAAGAAAAAACAAAGGTTTCATTGTTAACTAAAAGATTCGAATGCAGATTCCCTCAATACAATAAAAAAAAAATCAACCATTCTCACATAACTCTATAGGTGACAGGCCAAAATACATGCACATCAGATATCCCGGCGTATTTAAAAACAAAGCCGAAAACGTTTAACTGACCACATAAAAAAATATCACGAAGCACATTGTTCCGGAATTCTGGGAACAGACGTGGGGGCTTAATGAAGTTAGTTGAGCACACAACAAAGAGGTAAGGAGGTGAACTAAACCATGACGCGGAAACTTGGATAAGTTCAGTTTTGTAAGTCGCAATAAAAGGGTTCCTGCTGATATTTTGGATAAACGATTGATTGTTAGTATTTCATATTGTTGTTAATTCATAGATAGCCCATAGTCTAAATCTAAGAAAAAAATTACTCAAAAAACTAAGTAAAATATTTTTATGGACGTTAACGATTCCTTAATCATCACTCTGAAATGGAAATTTTTGTGACTTCATACAATTTCACCTTATCTACATGGAACATTTATTCTTATTTACGTATGGTTCCAAGTGGCTACAGTACCCCGAGAAGCATGTCTTGGCTTGTTGCCGTGATTTATTACTTAAGGCGGCCCCTTAGGTTTCACAGTGGCGTTAAATTATTCAGCTTTTAATTCGTTATCGTTGCCACCGGTGTTCCTACGTTTTACACTATTTACGCTTGATAAATAATTTAATGTCCCTTCGTGAGTAGGGTGCGCGAGTGGTCCTCGTGGTTAATTTGCGGAGATTCTGCGGTCGATGTACATTAATTTTGGATGTAAACTTCAAGCGAGCTGAGCACTAATTGTTCAACAGCTAGTAGTTGAAATGTTTAGAAATTCTCTCCTAAAGGGCCTATTCAAAATAACATTTATAAACAAACTAGAAAGAAACCACAGACATTAAGTACTAGTGCATGCGTATAAGACATGCTCTAAGCCTAAGTCGCCAAAATTTTATTAAATTTTAAATTTGCGGTCTCTATTCTCCGAGAGATAGACCTAAATAAAAAAGGTCGAAGCTAAATTGAAGCATTATGAAAAGAATTCTACGCAAATTTAATATTATGCAAACCTCTGCTTGCGGTGGTCGTACCAACGTGCCCAAATAGATTGGCACTCGGGTCCCAGAAGGTTCGTTCGAAGCACAAAACCACTTTGTTCAAATTTCCATAACCGAGACGCTTGATAGCTGCCACCTAGAATTAAATTTAAGCTTAATTCTTAAAAAAAAAAGATTTGTAAGTCTTCAAATTCGCTGTCTAACGTTGAAGAATTTGTCGAAATTAGATTACATTTCGTTTGATGTAAGTAAGCAACATAGCTTTTTTCTAATGAAAATTCTAGTTTTTTACACTTTGACACACAAAAATGGTTACTCGTAGTAATTGTACAAAGAAATTTCAATTCCAAATCCAAAAAGGGAATTAAGTTTTTTTTTTAAATGAGACCTCGTTAAAAAGAAAACTTTTATCAACGTTAACAATATATGGATAAAGATTAATAGAATACATTTATGAAATTATGATATTGACTACACATTAGCTAATTTTCAGATACAAAGCGCTCATGTATTCCATCTGCAAAAGCTTAATACTTCAATCTCATATTCCAAGGTAGATAGGGATCTTCACGACCAGGTATCTATTGGTTTCGTTAATTACTTACCACAAGCCAGACAGTAAAAACAAAAATACGAAATCAAAAAACATTTTAATTATTTAGATAAGCTTCAATGAGGTATATATCAGAGAATTCTTGCTTGATGATGTGATAAAAATATTGAATTCTTATTGATGTTACCTTCCACTCGGGCAGGGGGGGATTAAAAGTGGTGAAGTTCTGTTGATTCTGTCCATTGCTTGCCACTGCAACCTTTAACACTCCCAAAGGCAATGTACATAAGACTACATCTCCTATAACAAAACAACAACAAAAAAAAATAATTAGCTTTACAGTTTTACTCAGTATTGTTTTCCGTAAAGATATTGGTTTTGTAAACAAGAACAGGCAAACTCACAGCTATCTTTAATTTATATTTTCTAAACGGTTATCTTGTTCGAGCCATTTGCGGTCGGTATGATATGCAAACACACTCGACAGATTTAAATGGGTTATATTATTTGAAATTTATGCAGATATTGCACAGTTCACGGCTTGGTGTTGAGCTGATAGCGAAACCCTATGATACATCGAACTAATTCCTACCTTGAGACGTGAGGTCCGAGTTTCAATTGCATTAAAATACATTACGTCGCTGTCAAACCAAAATCTGCTATGTGCGAAAATTCTATTTTGAATTAACGAGTAAAAACATTTTCGTATAAAATTTTACATGAAGGTGAATTTTTAAGAACTATATCAAATGAAAGCTATAGATAAATATTAAAGCTATAGACACATAACACTTTTTTTATACGGTTGATAGGGCTGTGAAATATACGAAAAGGTCAAAAGTAAAAATCTGAAAAAGTGCACATAGCAGATTTTGGTTTGACAACTACGATATAACAAATGTATAATAGATTTTATGACAAGAAATGGAAACGACGTCGAATCCGGGAAAAAAGCTAACTACATATAAGCCAGCTTTAATTTGTTCAAAAATACAACGTATCGTGTTCACGAGAATTTTCACTTTTTAATATAAAATCTTTTAGTAGACCCGTATTTTAAACACTCCGTCACGACACTGACGTTGATTATATTAAGTGAAAGCCTGCACCCTCAAATACGAGACCTCTGTGGATTGCGGAACTGTCATTGACAATTTACATCTATTTTCTTTTACTTTTTTTTGTTACTTTCGATAAAATTTTATTCTTTTTCTGATTTAAATCAATGTAAATATTATTTTTGATTTACTTATGAGTTTATTTATTATATTACATTAATTTATCAATTGCCTGTATCGAGATAATATTTGCGACGTACTGTTTGACACATTTTTTTTTTCTAAGGCCTTGGAAACCATTCGCGGCGTTGCTCTAACGGCATATCTAGTCATGGTTCAGACGTGATTTGAAAAAGAGTCCTGAATGGTAGATTGGCAGTTCAGTTTTTTTTAGGAAAATGGAGATCGCAGTATTTCAGGTATTAGCTGATTTCAAGCCAATTTAAATCTTTGGTTACTACTCAGCAGCCCGCGTTGAGTCATTTGTAATTGGTCATTAAAAAAGTTGGCGGTGCATAGCACTGTTTATATTCTTGAGCAACGGTAACCATTTACAAACGTCGACAATTTTAGAATTACCGTCTTAACTGTGTGCAGAATCTGTGGTTTCTTATACAATAATCCAATTTAGACTAGGATTACAAAATACATTATTTTACAATATACCCAATTTTAGTATCAAATATCTAAAACATAAATCTTATTCAATTCTTCGGAAAATAAATACATTTTCAATTGATTCTCTTATCTTAAAAAGTATTCTCTCAGTAAAACATGATTGGCGAAGATTTGACGAAACGGAGAGAAACACAGAGTAGAATCGTATCGATTCCCGAGAGACAAACAAAATATTGAGATAACGTTTCATTCTTGAATACCTCAATCACGCTTGTAAAAGATATCACTTAAGATGAAAACGTACATTGTTCATCCAAAATGAATGTTTTGATGTTTTCCAGTAAATAAGGAAAATAGACATTATTCGTACATCGAAAATACAAAAGAAGATAGATGTGTTGCGTAGTTATTGTGAACAGTTGTATTTAGCGTTTCATCATCCAAACTAATTGAATTTAACTGAATTTATCAGGATCGTTTCAATTAATTTAATTTTTTTTTACTTTCATTCCAAATCTAACAAGAGTTCCGTACAATTTTTAAATTATATCGAAGGTTGAGAGGCTATTTGGTTTAAGCAACATTTTTTGCAACTTTACAGGATTTAAAGTTTAAAATTTGGAAAAAATATACTTAAAAAAACTTTTTCAAGTTTTTTTTATTGCCCTTGTAGGCAGACGAGCACACAGCCCACCTGATGGTGAGTGGTTACCGTCGCCCATGGACTTCAGCAATGCCAGGAGCAAAGCCAAGCCGCTGCCTACCGCTTAATACTCTCCACAAGCCTCTTTTAAAGAAGGAAATGTCATAGCGCTCAGGAAACACCGTGGAGGGGAGCTCATTCCATAGCTGGATGGTACGTGGAAAAAAAGACCTCTGGAAACGCACTGTCTACGAACGCAGCGATTCCAGATAATATGGATGAACTCTGCTCCAATGGCGGGAGGTGCGATGATAAAAAAGGAGATGAGGGGATCATCTCAAACAATTCCTCAAGTATTTGAATAAGGTAAAAAACTTTATTGAAGTTTAATTAAAACATCGTATTTCTGATACTAATACCAAATAAAACGGACCTTTAAACACAAAGATAAATGTCGCGTATGAAAGGTCGCTTAAACCAAACACCTTTTCACCCTTCGATATACTTTAAAAACCATGTTTCTATTTATTAAAATTATAACACGCGAACTCATTAATGAAATGCTTCGTCAGTTCGGAAAGCGTAAACGAGGCAAAGGTTGTTTTAGCCGGTGAGACCGCCTCTCAAACACTGGCTCATCTACAATAGACTCCGCCTGTATGCAAATGTGGCGGAAGAGCCTCAGGCGAGCCGCGATTGGGTGAGGGGGGGGGGAGCCGGGTCAACACAACCTCGACCGTATTTTTCTGCCTCGTCAAAGTAAAATTAACGCGATAGAATTGCAAATCACTCGCCAACAATGACAGAGGAAACCGCATTGTAGATTTTTCTTATAACTTCTAATATCGCGACGTGTTTTTTTTTCTCCCGTACACTTTATTCCCTTAAATATTGGATGGAGTTGATTTTTTTATTTGAAGCGGAAAACTCGAGCATTGAAGTAATACAGTCGTGCCGGAGGGTAAAATCGATAACACTTTAATAACAGTTCCGCGGTTTAGTCGCAAGACGCAATCTTAACTTTGATTTATATTTATTGTATTTCAATTGTATCGCTTTTTTTCCTATCTAATCGTTGGTGAGCTTACGGGCTCATCCTGAGAGAACTGCTAACACTAGTACTAGCAAGAGCAGTGGTTCGCTGAATCTACTACCGGATCGGAAACGCGACCCACTAAGAAGATCCGGCGAGAAACTCAGAGGGTTTTGTGTATGGGCTAGTTCGCACGCCGAACCTTTCGTCGGAGTCAAAGAGTTCGATGAGGAATTGTATCGCTGCTCTAATGATTGTTGACGCAAATTTTTTATCGATAAATCGATGATAAATTATGTGACATTAACACGTAGGTTTTAACTTTAAATCTCAAAAAATATATAACTCATTACCTCTTTTAATGATTACATAAAAAAGATTTAGTTTATTTAATTGAATTATTCATTCAACGAGTTATAGTGCTGTATTAGACAATAATTAATTATTCATTCAACGAGTTACATTGCTGTATTAGATTTTTTTTTAGAAAAGTTGTTAAATGAAATCTTACCTTTTCGATTTTGCTTTATCTTAATAGATGAAAACAAATTTACAACGACTATTGTATAAATAAGCTATTCTTAAATTGCCACGTCAGGGTAATATTAATAGCATCTCAACCTCTACGGAATAATAACAGTAAATATGTATACGTATCATTTCGTCTAGACGGAGGATTATGCGTAACATTTTTATTGGTAGCATTCTAGTGTCTACACAATTAAATTTGCCGTGTCATCATCATTTGCAGCTTATTAACAGTGTCTAAGGGTTAAAGATCAATGTGAGATTTTTTTTTCCCTACCTAAGCTGATAGTCTTGAGAGGCAATTTCAGCGTAACCTTAACTAGTAGGTGAGCTCACGGGGCTCNGCGCGTTGAGCTAATAAAATATAATGGATGTGGAACAATTCATTAGTGAAATACTGAGTAGACCAGAAATATGGATGTCAAAACATCCACATCATAAATATAGGCATGTTATAAAAAAAATGTGGGACGAAATAAAACAACAATTTTCTGGTACTAATGGTTTCCTAGATACTCTTGGATAGGATTATTGAAATAAAATTTGAAATTTGGATTGATTTCGTATTCTAGATGCTTGAACCGTTGCTCGATTATTCCGTCTTGATCTGCGTACGCTATTGTGAATATTGGAGTCTCCAAACTGGGAAACAAACTGCTGAAAATCTGCATCTCTGTCTCCATCACTTTCTGTTAAGGCACGAAACCTTTATAATCATGTCGCGTGCTTTTTGTTTGCCTGTACACTTTTCGTAAAAATACGAAATTTATTAGTTAGAATACCAAACGCGTACTGAATTGTGACACTTGCCCGGGATAATGTTTTGTCGAAAATTATTTGTTCCGCATTTAAACCACCCGGAGGATATGGGCGCATCAAATAATTTTTAAGAGGATAGGCTTTATCAGCAATTAACACGTATGGTAAATTTAGATTTGAACCTGGTAATATCTGTGAAGGTTGAATCTATTAATAATCTATTTATCGGGATAGTTCTTATATTCCTAATATAATACCTAATAAATAGGTTGAAATTCGCCAAGTTCTCTCTTTTTCTAACTGGGTGCGCTCCTATTCTTGATTGAATAATATCTTCAGCTAAGAACGCACTTATTTCAAGGTAATATCGTGCCACTTTTGAAAGGGAAATTTGATAGGGCTTTCTAAATACGTCCACCTCTGACGCCGCCGCCGTCGCCACTAGTCTAGCTGTGGCATACCCCCGCAAATCACGCCGCCCGCCGCGCCTCGCAACGCACCGCAAAACGCACCGCCAGTAGCTGTGGCCAGGCCCTGACTGCACAGCACAACACAGCAAGGGGCCACTTAGCCTGGTGTCCCGGGGACGGAAATGTAGCTTGTTAACTCACCTTTAAAGACCTGTGGTTGGTTCGGATTGCGAGAACTATTAGCTTTGACAGTTACGCCTGGACCTTCGTAGTTGATATCAGTTACCGAGGTCCCGAGCCTGATGTCCAAGTCTTCTGACAGAGCGACGGGCACGCAGGAATACCCGTTACGAACTAGAAAGAGATTTAAAACTAATTATAGCAATAACGATATTTTCGGTACAAAAATGGACTTATTAACTACTATGGACAGATAAAAGCGTTCGTATTGTGATCAAAGCCAACACGAAGACCGTAAATTCCTTTACGCATCAAAAGTAATAAAAAAAATATCTTAGAAATCGTATCGTATTTTTACTGGTGGTAGGACCTCTTGTGAGTCCGCGCGGGTGGGTACCACCACCCTGCCTATTTCTGCCGTGAAGCAGTAATGCATTTCGGTTTGAAGGGTGGGGCAGCCGTCGTTACTATACTTGAGACCTTAGAACTTGTATCTCAAGGTGGGTGGCGCATTTACGTTGTGGATGTCTATGGGCTCCAGTAACCACTTAACATCAGGTGGGCTGTGAGCTCGTCCACCCATCTAAGCAATAAAAAAAAAAAAAAAAAAACTTTCTTTTCTCTAAAGGAAGCTCATTACAGTACGTTATTTTGTACTCTTTAGCGTTATCATCAGACTTTAACGACATTCCGACTGTAGGATGTCTTATTTAAGTGAACTTTGCTATAAAAGCCCGTACTGCCGACCACAATGCAGTTTTCAATTAGGTTGATAGCACACCAGTGGCAGTCTATTGCGTTTTAATAACTTTGAGTGGATTTCTTACCACGGTATGTTGTATTAAAACACAGTCTTATAAATAATAAGAATGTATAGTAAGTAGTAAATAATAGTTTAAAAAAACTAATAAAATACGCTTTTATAGAAAATCCAACTAAAAAATAGAAAATAAATCTTAATAAGATTAAGATTTTTTAAATATTATTTATTTTTCATTTTTTAGTTGAATTTAAATTTTTTCAATATTTTTTTAAATATTAAATTGTCATCGGTCCTTAATAACCGGTATACCAAATTTCTAGTTAATCCGACGTTTTGGAGGGTGTCAAAATCATGTTCAAAGATTCCGATACATACTAACATACATACATACCTCTGAAGCTAATAAAAGCGTATTAAAAATATAAAAGACTACGTTAATGCGTTAGGCGGTGCTGGCAATAATAACCAAATATGAGGTTTTTGTTTTTCATCTCTATGAGATACAAATTCTATTGTTGCATGTGTTTCAAATCATAATTAACTAGACACGTCCTGCGATTTCACCTACGTTGGTTTTGTAATTGCGAAAGAATGAAAGACGTTGAATAATAAGACCAAGGAACCAGCTTGTAACTTGTCGCATTGCTAACATCCATACATGACTTTGACTACAAACGATTAGGTATTTCGTATCCAACCAACTTAATAATAATTAAAAAAAACATTTATACCGTTTTTAATTACTATAGTTGACTGTTTCGTAAAAATGTAATTGTCAATTCTAAGCGATTGCGTGGTCTGTATTAAGTTTCGGCGGTAGTGGAGTAAGTATATTTGGAGTATGTGCTTTCAACAGTGTAACATTAAACGAAATTAGCCGAACCATTGTCCGGGACCGTCGTGCAAATAAACTTCCGGAATCCGGAAGCGAACCGCAAGTTCACATGACGCCAAACAATTCCCAGATATACACATTTTAAAGTCTATAAAGTTTTAATTGAATGTAAAGTACACTCGGTATCGTCAAAGTCAGTTGTGTCAAAGTTAAAATTCAATTTACGCATTAAATTACGTAACAAACAATATTTCATGGCTGTCAACAATAACAAAACCAATCTAAATTAATAGCATAATAATTTTACTGGTGGTAGGACCGCTTGAGTCCGCGCGGGTGGGTACCACCGCCCTGCCTATTTCTGCCGTGAAGCAGTAATGCGTTTCGGTTTGAAGGGCGGGGCAGCTGTTGAACTATACTGAGATCTTAGAACTTATATCTCAAGGTGGGTGGCGCATTTACATTGTAGATGTCCATGGGCTCCAGTAACCACTTAACATCAGGTAGGCTGTGAGCTCGTCCACCCATCTAAGCTATAAAAATAATAATTATATATATTTAAGTAGCTGCATTGACTACATCACCGAATTCAGTGTACCCTTTCAGTAAAAGCTCGATAAAAAATAAAAATAAACTTCCAACTGTTACTAAATATTTAAACAATAACAAAAATTAAACACGCTTTGTACAATTCACCAAAAACTTTAATGCGCTAAAACGTAAGCTCGACTAAAACTGCCAATCACATTTCAAACAACTGCTTAGCAAAAATTGTGGAAACCAACAATTCATCTCGAATTGAAATTCATTACCTACGTTGAAAAACATGAAAATAATTTAAAAAAAGGAGAAATTTCAAATAACATCGTTAGCAACTAAAGTTAGTGAACACCCGTCAATTATATGGCAATTTTGCCGGAATTAAACCCGGTCAAGTTTTCATATATTTTGACCAACAATAGGCAATTTAGTCCGTGTCGAAAACGCTGTCCGGTTTGACGGTCAGAAAAAAAAAACAAGCTTTGCGCTTCTTGGGCCGCAACGAATGCTGTAGCTTTTTAGAACTGCCAAATGAAAGTCTGTCAATTCGGTGCGTTTATAAATACCAGTGATCGCCGAATTATGATGGAAATTCGACCGTAATCACAGACTCCTCAAGATTTAGATTCATTTTAATGTGCAAACACGTTTTCCAATTAGTTTTATTACTAACATTTTCAAAGAATGAATCTGATTAGTTCCGAAGTATAATCTCAATAAACTTTAAAAATCGCTTGACAAGACGTTAAAATTGTACTCAATAAAATCGAATATTGGTGTTCCTAATTCAATTTTAGTAAGATCTGATTACATTTAACTCCAAAGTCGTTCACACATCCACACAAATGCTTATCTTTTTGGCTTATCTGTTTATATTCGCACCTTACATGCATGGGTCAAAGTCAGGATTCCTCTATATAGTACAAGTGTTCCCACAACATGACTACGCATTGTATTAATGACTATGCAACTATGTGAAATCTCAATAGCACTAACATTAGCTATTATTTATTCATAACAGCAGGCATATTGTACATTGTTTTAATGTACTATATGGCTGGATGAGCTTACTGCCCGTCTGATGGTTATCTGAGCCTATGGACGTTACAACGTAAATATCGCCATCCGCCTTGAGATATCCAGTCTGAGTCTTAATTGTGTATAGGCTATTGTATACTTCAAATTGGAATACATTGCTGCACCGCAGCAATAACAGGCCAGATAGTATTATTACCCCTGCGAAGTTAGAATACTCCTTACTACAGGTAATTACGAAAATATAAATTGAAAGGATAATTTTTTTTTATTGTCCTTGTAGGCAGACGAGCACACGGCCCACCTCATGGTGAGTGGTTACCGTCCCCCATGGACTTCAGCAATTCCAGGGGCAGAGCCAAGCCGCTGTCTACCGCTAAATATTCGGTGATACTCATGGAAGTTGTTCGTACACTCATCTTACGTGCATAACATGCAAGAGGGCGTAAGAAAATGGGGACGCAAGTAAATTTTCAGTTTTTTCGTATAAAGCGACCATATCAGTTGGTCTTTTATAGTATTATTGGAAACAGGCGCACAGTAATTAAACGAAGAAATAAATAAAATAGTTAGGTTGCTCTGCTATGAACAGATAATGGAGAGGCATTCCGGTCACCGTCCTCGTCGAACCCGTCGCTTGCGACGAAGGGCTCGACGAGCGAACTAACCCATAGACACAGCCCACTGAGTTTCTCGCCGGATCTTCTCAGTGGGTCGCGTTTCCGATCCGGTGGTAGATTCTGCGAAGCACTGCTCTTGCTAGGGTCAGTATTAGCAACTCCCCGGTTGAGCCCCGCGAGCTCACCTACTAACGTTAGGGTGAAGCTGAAATAGCCTCTCAAGGCTATCAGCATAGGTAGGGAAAAAAAAAAGAGAGGCATTACTAGTAGTGAAAATCAGCATAATAATATCCGTATCTTTTAACGGTGACCATAGGTGGCCAGCAAACTCATCTGCTTTTGATGGTAACATATTAACTTGCATAAACCCACACCTATTTTTGTGTATTAGCAATCTTATGAGACGTCCTACTTCAAATAACATTTTCACTAGACCTTGACGTCTATGAGACGACAAGAATCATTATAGAGCAAGTCAAAGATATTTCTGCCTACGAAAAAATAGTAAAGCAAAATCAGAGAATAAAATCATCTAATATAACGAGACTTCTGTTTCACTCGAACTGTGGCTTCGGATTAAATAGCAAAAGTTTACAAAAGGTCTTTGCTTACGTTGTAAATTGTATAGCAGTATTGCAGAGCACCGCATACAAGGGCTGGTACAAAATTAAAATTATATCGGACGGGGCGAGTCAAACGGAAAATAGAACAAGACAGGGGAACTCCCTCAGGGGCAATGCTGCGTTTTTTGACGAAGTTTCGTCTTTACAAGAGAATATACTTTAGAAAAAAAAAAAAAAAAAAAATTGCTTAGGTGGGTGGACGAGCTCACGGCCCACCTGGTGTTAAGTGTTTACCGAAACCCATAGACATCTACAACGTAAATACCGCCACACACCTTGAGATATAAATTTTAAGGTCTCAGGTATAGTTACAACGGCTGCCCCGCCCTTCAAACCGAAACGCATTACTGCTTCACGGCAGAAATAGGTAGGGTGGTGGTACCTACCCGTGCGGACTCACAAGACTTCCCACCACCAGTAATTACGCAAATTATAATTTTGCGGGTTTGATTTTTATTGCACGATGTTATTCCTTCACCGTGGAAGTCAATCGTGAACATTTGTTGAGTACGTATTTCATTAGAAAAATTGTTACCCGCCGCGCCGGCGGGATTCGAACACAGGTGCATCGGTAGATGAGAATGCACCGGACGTCTTATCCTTTAGGCCACGACGACTTCTATGTGTGTATTTACTATGAAGTATATGAATCGTTCGTGAATCGTTGTGCTAACTAAAATCATAAATATAAAAGAAAATCTAAAATACAAAACTGAATAACAGCTCAAAAGGCAAAAATACTAAGGTTACTTACTACATTAAATAAATGACGGTACTGATATTTTTTCATAAAACACAAACAAACAACTAATTACGAACAAAGATAACGAAATTACTTATTGGACGAATTCGAGCGAAAATTTTAACGATTTTTTTTTTTTTCGATTTTAACGCGAGCACCGGATCATTAAGGTTGGTGTACCTACGCCAAAAATACGCGACATTTCGTTGGCTTAAAGGACATTAAATTAAGAGCAATTTGAATGTTTCACGTGTGGGGGTGAACGCAAACGATTGTAATTAAGTGTGTGCGGCGCGGCTGTATTTTCGTGGAGCTCACGATATCAACAACCGAAGCGGAATTACTTATATTACAGTGTAATTCGAGACGCATTATTGAAATCGATTTTGAAATTCAAAAGAGGTTCTTGTATCATCCGTAAATTGCGCAATATAAACTAAATTGTCACCAATCACCTGAGACGACACGGGGTCGCAATTTTTTATTTTTTTTATTTTATTGCTTAGATGGAGCCCATAGACATCTACGACG